AAAATTATAATCAATCAAACTAAATTGAACCAAAATTATAAATTCATAGTTAAAATTGAATTAATTAAAATTATAATGACTAAAATAATATGTATACAGGAATTGATGATAGCAACAGTGGACAACCCATCAAATGGTGTGGAATGGGCACTTGCTGAAATGCTAAATCAACCTGAAACCCTAAAAAGAGCCATGGCGGAACTGGACAGAGTAGTAGGGAAGGAGAGACTAGTCCAAGAATCTGATATCTCATAGCTCAATTACATCAAGTCATGCGTGAAGGAGGCCTTCTGTCTCCACCCCATTGCACCATTCAACGTTCCTCATGGTTCCATCTCAGACACTACCGTCGGAAACTACTTCATCCCGAAAGGTAGCCATGTCTTGCTAAGCCGCCCTGGACTTGGCCGAAACCCTAGAATTTGGAATGAGTCACTTAAGTTCAAACCAGAGCGCCACCTCAAGGACGATGGCTCGGAAGTATTGATCACTGACCCTGACTTGCGCATGTTATCATTCAGCACCGGAAGGCGTGGATGCGCAGGGGTTACACTAGGGTCTACAATGACCTCCATGTTAATGGCTAGGCTCCTCCAAGGGTTTACATGGAACTTGCCACCCACTGTGTCACATATTGGGCTCAAAGAATCTCCAGGTGACCTACTTCTCGCTAAACCTCTACTTGCTCTAGCAAAGCCACGGTTGGCTGAGAATTTGTATAGTATTTCACTTTGAACAAGACCTGGGGTTGTGTATGAAACAAAAAAGCAAAAACAGTGGTAAATGGTGGTATCTAGTTTTAATTTCGAGTTTGCACTAAGTGAAGTGTTCTGTTTTGTAAGGAGTGAACTATTTTTTTTTTTTTAATCAGTAAAGAAAATCTTTCATTGATGAAGAAAACACACATTACATATGAGATAACATCAACAAGGAAGATAAAAATAAAAGGACAAGAAAAGAAACCGAGCATAGTGTTGGTGAGAAACCAACATTAGCACACAAGACCACAAACACTTGAAGCCAAAACTCAAAAACTAGCTAACAAAGCTAAAACCCACTGAAAACTCCAGCTAAGCTTACTTGAAGCCATCCTTCAACCTTTTAAGACCAAACCCTCCTATTTGGATCTCTCTTTGTCCTTAAGCTCTAGCTCAATAATCTTATTTAGCACATCATCTTCTTTCCCATTGAAATTGATGCCAAGAGATTTACCTAATTGAATAGTGGCTTTAGCTTCATTGAGGAGAAGATTGTTCGGACTAGTAACACTCTCAGACAAATCTGAACGTGCAATCGCAACTGATGCTGGTCTGAAAATGACAGACCTAGAAGTGCGCTTGCTGCCCGCTGCAGCTTGCTGCCCATGAAGTCTAGCAAATCCGGTGAACCCCTCAAATTGAACCTTCTTCTTTCTTTTCCTCTTCTCATTCCGCAGGAGTTTTGGGACAGAAGCAGGTTGCCTAACTAAGCCAGACTGATTAAGGCTCAGAAGACCCTTCCTATTTAGATTCTTACTAAGAGCTTGTGCCAAATCCACTTCAAGATTGATACCAAACCCACTTCCATCACGAGATCCACTAAAGCTTTTAGTAAAACTAGGAGTAGATACTTGCTCAACAATAACATTTGGACTGTGTACTAACTCCTCCAACATGGTCTCCTCAACAACTGAGTTTACCTCCTCATCCAAATGACAATCATTAGACCCAGACCTCTGATCTACCTCCTTGGTACATACTTCCTCTTTCATCCCACTTTGACTCCTTAACAACTGTGTTTACCTCCATCACATGGTCTGCCTCCTTCTTTCTAGAACACTCCTCTGAACTTGTTCTTTCCACAACACTGCCACAGATTTCGTTGGAGCTGCACTCTTCCAAGCCATTGCGCTTCAAGCTACTAAATTCTGCTGAAAGATCTTCACACACAAGAATGGGGTGTAATTTACCCTTGCAATCCAAAGATATAGTTTTGTTAATAAACACCATACAAGATGTAGCCACTCTAATTCTAGTGTGGAAGAAGGACTTAGGTTGACAAATATTACCATCCACACTAAGGACAGTACCCCACATATTTCCAATGTTATTGAGTGTACCTCTATTCCAAAGATTTAAGGGAATGCCATAACACCGCAACCACACACATCTTTCTTGTTCAAGATAAATTCTTGGCTTCCATTCCATCACAAACTGACTCCATTCTTTAAACCATTCTTTGATATTGCAAATATTTGATTTTAACTCCTCTTGAGATTTGAATGTTAGAACTATATCTCGACCACCCCCTTTTCTGACCATTACATGATCCAACCCTTTCTCCTTCAAGGCATTTCCAATGTTAGTAGTAGAGAGTTCAGAATTAAATCTGACTATTACACTATCATGGAGCCATCCAAGATCCTCTTCATAGGCTTTTATGGACATGCTTTCTTTCCTAGCCCCAGTGGGTATGACCCCTTTCAATACTTCAGCGAATGATCTTTGGCCTGAATATGGAACTTCAGCCCTGAAACTGATAGATTCAGGAGATTTGCTAATGGAATGGGGTTCTCTCCTGCTCTGCTCAAATCTGATGCATCTGACCTTGGTAGCTTTTTTAACTTCTAACACCCTTTCTTCTACCTGCAGACCAAAAAAGTTGCACGCGACACAGAGAACTCTATGAGTCTGAAATAAAAAAGTTGTACAACATGATCGTTATGTAATTAGAAAGTAGATGTTTTAAATGTTTACTTCGGTATCAATTGTTATTTAAGCCTTGTTTGAGATAAATTAAAAAAGTCAAAATGTTACTTAAAAAAGTTAAAAAGTCTATAACATTTAAGAGTAGCTTGTGGGGGAAGTCACTAGGACAAAATTATTATTTTGTCTTTTGAATTCAACTATCCAAAAAGTCAAAAAATTAAAGTCAAAAAGTCAAAAGGGGAAAATTGTTATTTTGATTTTACTTAATATTTTATTACACAACTTTTCTTAAAAAGTTAAAAAGTAATCCCAAACATACATTTTTTTTTTCTTTAATTTTTTAATCAAAAAGTCAAAAAGTACATTTATATAGCCACATCCCAAACAACTACTTAATACTATGAAAATATGTTTCTTTGATTATAACAATAAAAAATGTTATAGCCCCAAGTTTTGTACTAAATAAATGATCAAATGTCTCACATAGACTCCCACACTTTTGTGGACCCACACCCATGTAAGATATTTGATCATTTATTTAATAAAAAATTTAGTATCTCTAACGTTACTCTATAACAATTATTTTATGACTTGCTTTTGGCATAATTTTCTTTTTATACCTTTAATCCAAGAACTTGAATAATTTTCACAAATATTATATGTTACGGGCGGAAAGGCAGCTCAATGTCAATGAGACATGAAATTTGTTTAAAATGCAAATTTCTAAAATTTGTTTAAAATATACCACATCCTGAAAATTATAAATATTTAATTGTTAAATTTTTTCTAACAACTAACATAACAATTTCTTTTTTATCGACACCAAGTACATGCTTTCTAATTCGCCTCCTAATTTAACTCCTCCTTAGGAGAGTTGAAATGGCATCCTTCTTGGGATTAAGCCTTTAGAAAAGTCATAGTAGCTAATTAAATTAGGCCTAATTGGTTACTAACATAATAGTTTATAAATAAAATTACCCAAATGTCCTCTAATAATAAAATAAAATTATCATATATTGGTGCATATTCTTATGCACATGTATTTTAATATTAAATTATTATTTATGTGATTAATTCACCGTAACTCTTTGCAATGAATAGAGAACATTATAGCATTATTTTCATTCATGTGTAATTAATCAAAAGAAAAATGATATATAAACTCACTTTATAGACTTATTTTCTAAATCTAGTGATGTGTGAATAAAATAATTGATTGATAATTAAATAATAAATGAGAAAGAAAATTGATTTAGATATTTTAATAAAATATCACATCATTAAATTTATAAAATAAATCTAATTTTTAGCCTAAATAGCATCCTTGTTTTGTTGTTGTATCCCTTCTTCACTGTTTTTTTGCTGTTTGATACATCAATAAAAAAAATTAAAAAAAAATTACCGATAAAAAAATCCTCTTAATCAAATATTGCCTTCGTGTTACATTCATAGATATGTGTTTCATGGTATGCCATAAAGTGTAATGCTTGCTTTGAGTAGATGTGAAACTGTCAAGGAAGAGAAGGAATGGTCTGGTGAATTAACTTTGTGACTACCATTTTTCAATCTCACCGCGTACTATTTTTAATCTCGCCGTGTACTTTCACTACAGGAATTTGTACTTTTGCCGATTAAAAATTTAATCAAGAAAAGTCTATTTTTAGTTAACAAAAATTATCCGCGACTAATTTTTTTGGTCGCCACTTTGGTCGCCAATTGAGGGTCACGAAAAGTAATTAGTGACTAAAAAGTTTTTTAGTCGGGAAAAAATTCTATTTGCTGACTAAATTTTTGATCGCTAAATATACAATTATCGCGACTAATCCATTTTGTAGCTAAAAGACTTTAGTCGTCAAAAGTGATATTTCCCGACTAAATATGTTAGTCGCCAATTGTCACATTTCCCGACCAAAATTGTTGGTCACCAAAAGTGATGTTTACACGACTAAAACTTTAGTTGACAATAGACCTATTTGCAACCAAACATTTTAATTGCCAAAATTAATAATTTTACCTACTAATTATTTAGTCGCCAAATGTACTCTTTCATTTACCAACATTTTGGTCACTAAATGTGAATGGTGAAACACCGACTAATCACTTGGTTGCCAAAAGAGAAAAAATCAAACCAAATTTTGGTAGCCAAATCAATTCTTTTTGTTTATCAAAATATAACTAAAATATAAAAAGAATTCCATTTGACCTATATGATATACAATAATCAATCGAAACCATTCAATATAACCTGTAATTTGCAAGAATCATTCAAACCAACGAAATCAACTGAATCATGAACATTCAACAAAATACATAAATCAGCCAAAAATTAACGTGTTTAATTAAAATCAACTATTATAAGTTTTCATTCACAAGTAATTCCCAACTACATAATCGTTCAATTAATATGTCATGTAATCTATATAATTATCCAATTCACATATAGTATAAAAATTTAAAACATAACAAGTAGTTGTTATTATGTTTTAAATTTTTATCCATACGCATCTATCCAAAAATATAACTAGTAGTCTACTCAAATATTTTTCATATACATCTATCCAAAAATATATAATCCTTCAAAAAATGTAACAAGTGCCAACTAGCCCTGTACAATTCAGCTTCGCGCACGAGTTCATCTGTACAAAAGAAAAACAAAAATAATGTTAGGTAATTTTTATATGAAAATATTTGCACATCACTCGGATTGTAAAATTAGACAAAAATTGAAAATGATCCATGGAAAGTAAAGATAACATGAACAAATTAAAGGACTATCAACACCATTTTGTAAATAATTCAACATTCATATGTATACATTCAATCAATATTAAAATGCTAGCAATATCAATGCACCACACTCAGAAAAATTCCATGAGTAATGGATGAATGACTCGCAGATTAAATTCTATCAATATAAATTGAAATAGATGTTATCAATCAATGCTTACATTTGGATTTTATACCTCATATTGCAATAACTAGACAGCATATATAAGTGAACATTTGATCTAGCAAGTTAGCTACTATAACTTGCAGTTTACAGCACTTGTTTTTGTCTAAATCTCTAACCGTGCGTCTTATCAGTGCGCCGCTTGCTCTCACAGGTTTGTTTAATCTAGGCCGAGGTGACTGTTATGATCTTGGTGCTGTTTGGAGACTTTTGAATTTTCGCCCCCAAACGGCCCTTTTTCGCCTTTTTCTCACATTTTTTTTAGTGTCAAAAGACCACTATTTTTCTCACTTCACACCATTTGTTCCATGATATATTAGCCATGAAAATAAAACTGCATGATTATATCATGATGATATATTAATCACCTCCATTAGTCCTCTAGTCTACTGTACACAGTTGAGTTCAATTAACTCTTAGGTTGCTTCCAATTGGCGCCTCAACTCACTTTCCAACCAGAGGGTATATGTTGACTCCATTTTCAGACTTGCAAATGAAGGATACAGAGAATACAAGGATGAAATTGTGAAAAAGTGAAAAAAGGCTATTTATTCCCATGAACATATTCCCTCTGTCACAGATCATAAAATTCCATGATGAGGAATTCCAATTCTCACAGTATACATACAACAACAACAACAAAAATAATAATAATAATAATAATAAAAAAATGAATATCCGTCCTTCCTCACATTGTATCCACTGCACGTGAATAGCAAAAGATGAATGGTGGTGTTTTCAAGGAGGAGATTTGAATTACAATTTTTTTTTTCTTCTGTTTCTTCCATTTTTTTTCTCCTTTTCCTTTTCCTGTTAAATGGTAGTAATATTTTGAAATAACAAATCAAGATATATTGGTTTGAAATGAATGAGTACCAGTTTTTCAAATTATTTTACATAGATTTTATTATTACCCTATTATTCTTATACCATGCCATTATAAAATATTTCTCAAGCATTGCTATGCAGTTCCCTCAAAGAGAGAGAATTGCAAGGGAAGGGAGTAGAATAATCAAGTAAAAGAGAGAGATTTTTCCATGGCCTTTTCTCGCACAGATACAGAACTCGCTAAAGGATTGAGGAGGAAGGAGATGATTCACAGGCAGGCTCTTAAAAAGATTGCTCTCTCAAAACCAAAAACAAAACCAATTTTTTCCATTGATTCCTTTGTAAATCATGAATGGGCTATATATATATATATATATATGATAATGGATGGTCCATTGTGCATATGATATCAGGTAAATGAAAAGAATGAATAGGTGATTACCTTGAAAAGAGAGTACCGCAGTCCCTTTGGAAACCTTTGTTGCATACCTCACAAATGAACTGGTTTGTTGCCATTAGGGTCTTGGGAGATAGTGCAATCACCTCAGCATATGGATCTGTTATGAGAAAAGCCAAACAACAAAAACAATTAAATGGAAAAGTTCCAAAATTTCAAGAACTAATTAGGAAGAAAAAAAGATCATTAAAATGATTAAATCATTGTGCTGTTAGGGGACCGCTACAAGCCGGAGATGAAGAGTAGACATTCAATCCATGGATCTATTTTTGCTTCTCCTCTCCTCTACTACTGCAGTACATTTTATTCCTTCTTTAAAAAATAATAATAAATTAAATTATTTTATAAAAACTGATGCTGCAGATATTAATTACTACAATGATTTAATGTCATGTACATACACATCTACCCATTTATGCACATACTTTTCTCTCTCTCTCTCTATATATATATATATATACACACACATATTCTTGATTTTTGTCGTGACTTATGAGCTTCCATATATCACATGCTCACCATAATACTTCCAATGTATTTGGATATGGAATTTTAGGAGAAATTCATAAAGACAAGGAAAATTTTGTGCGTATAAGTTAAATCTTTGATCCAATATTATCAAGAGTAATGACATAAAATAACTCAAATTTCATAGCAGATCCTTAGTAACTAATTAATAATGCAACACCACCAAAGTGACCCAGCTTCCAGTATATCATAGAATTGACAACTCAAATTACCAAATCTTCCTACTGAGAACTCAAGAGGTCTGAACTTCCAGCAATAGCAAGAAAACAATAACCCGACCCACTAAATATAAGAAATTACAATAAAAATATATTAAAAAGTGGATACGCATGTGTAATATAAAGGGTACCTATTGTACCTCTCCACCATCATCTAGAACAAACACTTGCCTATTCTCAAAAGGGGACATTGTTCCCGCATCAGTGTTCAAGTAAGGATCTGAATGAAAGAGCAAATTGTGAGTAAGCAATAACTACTCGTTGTTTTCTCAAATTGGGTTCTGTAATTAAACAAAAATGGAAGCACTAGTAAAAAGACAGAACATTGTGAACATTTCACAAGGGTGGTTGAAACAAAAATAGGCTTCTTTCAAAGACATTACAAACAAGAAGAAAACCCAAATTACCCAGCTAAGTTCTGTACATAACTCAAAGTAACAATAGTGTAAAAGAGCAAATTTTTTTTTCAAAAAAACTAAACTGAACAATCTTAATAGAAGTAACATGAAGCCCACAAGCCTTGAGAATGACACCAAAGCTACTGGCAGTCACATCTTTCCCAAGACCGCTAACTACGCCGCCTGTCACCAACACATACTTCATTTTTCTCTCTTTTTAGATGCAGAAGATGAAGATGATAATGATGATGATGATGATCTGATAAACCCAACTCCAATGAAGCCCCTTTTTTCCCGCTGATGATTGATTGAACACCTATGCATTTTTTTACCAAAGATTTATAATGTTAAACTGAACAATCGAGCATTGGGCATTTCGACATAAACAGAGTGGAAAAAAAAAAGAAAGAAAACAAAGAGTAGGAAGACTAACTTGTTCTTCTTTGTCGAAATCGTGGTTTTATCAGCTGAAAAAGCAAAGTGCAAAATCAGATTTCAGAAAAAATTGAAAGAGGAATGAGAATCAGATAAGAACAGCGGTGTGGGAATTTCAAAGAAAAATGAAGTGCTATATTTATGACAATGGTTCCGTTTCTTACCGAATCCCAGCATTCTTCGCCGCCATCGAATCTGACTCAGATCTTAGAAAGAGGTGTTGATTGGAGCAGAAATCACAGACATCTGAGTGCTTAAGAGATTTTTAGATCGCGAAATCGAATCTGATTCAGATCTCAACCGTTAGGCATGGTCTCTCCATCTTCACTGCCGCCGATAGATATGTGTGGATCGCTCACGACGGTCAGATCTTGGCCTGGGACTCAAATCTAATTCAGATCTCGACGATCTTCTCGGATCCGGCGGAGGCACCAGCGGAGGAGATGGAGGAGGATCATCGATGGCGGTGGGTGTTTAGGAGAGAGAGAGAGAGAGAGAGAGAAAGAGAGAGAGAGAGAGAGAGAGAGAGAGAGGCACCAGCGAAGGACGGAGGAAGATCATCGACGACAGTGGCGATCTGTGGCCATGGCGATCTGCGTCAGTGGCGGTGGTCTGCAGTGAGGTGAAGTTGGGTGAGGTTTGGTGGTGAAGGAGAATGTGTGAGAGGTTTGAACAAATTGTTGGGTGCAAATAGAGAACAGGTTTGAACAAAGTATGTAAAATCTTTAGCGACTAAATTCATTTTTTGTCGCAAAATCTTTATATGTAACGACTAAATTTTTTGGTAGCCAAATCTTAATCAACAGCGACTAAAATATTAGTCGCCAAAAGTACTAATTTGGCAACAAATTTTTTTTGATCTGAAAAAATGAATGTATGACAACTAATTTTTTTTTGGTAGCTAAAACTTAACATTTTCCGACAAAATTATTTGGTTGCCAACAAGTAACCATAAAAATATTACCGTTATTTAGCAACTAAATTTTCTTTGGCTAAAGATTTATTGTATTGTTCATAATAAGTAGTTATTTGATACCTTAGGAGCACCATGTGGTATTGTTTATGTAGTAGTCTAAACCAATAGTGTAGTTGGAAATCTCATGGATTGAATATAAATAACTCATTATTTTTAGGTAGTTGACAAACTACTTAGTGTGATTTGTGATTTCTCATTTTTTTTTAGCATCAAATAGGTAACGCTATATGGTACTATAAGACTATGTAATAATTTCAATTCAAAACACATCATTTATAAGCAATATCATCTCTTTAATATTTTATGTCAAATAAAAATTAAATAGATTTTATAATAATTTGTGCTATAAATGATGTGTTTTTATTTTCTAAAATTAGAAATTTTGATCCATAATTTTTTCAGCGGCTAAAATTAGAAACTTACATCACCATCCCGCACCGAGCTATTACACACTATTATAGAATTTTGATTTGTTCCTATTAATCATGACTTTTAATTTCTTATGCTTAAATTTAGCTCATAAAATTATTATTATCTTAATGTTGATCATGATTTGTTTTTTAAAAATAAAAAATTGTAATGAATAAGTGCCCCCTCTAACTTAATTTCCTAGCTCCACCACTGGCCGCCGCAACATCAAGCCCGCCTCCAATGGAAGTGAACAAAGCCGGGAAGCCAGTAGTGAAGGCTTCACCAGCTCCAGTCCCCAGCCCAAGAAGATCAATTGTGGTCGGCTTGTTTCGAGGGGTGTGGTAGAGAGAAGGTTGAGAGAGATTAGGAATTGAGATGAGGACTCAAACCTGATTCAAATCTCGACGATCTTCTCGGATCTGGCAGAGGCACCAGTGGAGGAGAAAGAGGATGAGCCGAGGTGGTGCGGTGGGTGTTTAGGAGAGAGAGAGAGAGAGAGAGAGAGAGAGAGAGAGAGGCACTAGCGGTGAGGTGAGGGTGAAGGAAAATCTGTGTGAGAGAGAGAACAATTTGATTTGTTTAAACAGAGAACAGGCGGGGACAATATTAAATGGTTTCCCTCTAAAATTTTCACACCTTTGGCAACAAAATTAGTTTTTGGTCGGCATTGGCGACTAAAATTTTGTTGTAGCCAAAGCTTAATTAACGGCCACTAAAATATTAGTCGCCAAAAGTATTAATTTGGTGACTAACTTTTTTTTGGTCAGAAAAAATAAATATACAACGATTAATTTTTTTTTTTGGTCGCTGAAAATACACTACTAGAAATCAACTTTTTAGGGACAAATTTATTCCGTCCCTAAAAGTGTAATATTTGTTGGGAAAAACTTTTGCCAACCAATTTTCTCCGTTGCGAAGTTTGTCCCAAATGGCCCGTTCGGAAAAGTCAAAAAATGACTTTTAGAAACAAAATTTTGCATTTGTCACTATAAATAGACTTTAGAGACAAAAATATGTGGTTGCAAAAAGTTTTGATTTTGAGACCACTAAAATTTGTCTCTAAAAGTCAAATTATAATCCAGACAAAAATTAATTTTTGAGACAATAGAAATTGGTCTCTAAAATTTTAGTTTTGGGGACAAATAAAAGTGGTCTCCAAAAGTTTTAGTTTTTGGAACAAATGAAAGTGGTGTGTAAATGTTATAATTTTTTTGAGACAACTAAAATTGGTCTCTAAAAGTTTGATATTTTTATTTTATTTATTTATTTATTTATTTTTGGTAACAATTACTCTAAAAATACTAGTATGAACATCACCTTATATTCCTTTCTTGATTTTTCAACAACCAAACAGAAAATATCAAACATATCACCAGACTATCTGTTCATCTCCAAATTAAAATTCAACTACACGAAAAAAAAAAAAATGCTCATCACATTCAAAGTGGCTTAATCAAAAGATAGTTCAATAACAAAAAAATACCATGCTCTGATTCATTAGTATGTAATATCTTGATTGTATATCATAAACTGACAGAGATTTCAAAAGTATCATTTCCAATTTATAAGGCTAGTGTCATAAGCATTGTTTGTAACATTCAACTATTCAATGAATAGATTGTAATTGGAGTTATATCTATCTACATAACAAAACAACTAAACTCATCGCATCTTCTTCTCAAGGACTTCATTGAAATGGCATTCAAAATCTAGCAGAGAGCTCGCAAGTTTCAAATCGACACAAGCTTGTAGAACCTGCATAGAATAGGCCAAACTCTCAAATAGATTACCAATTAAGAATTATCCAATGACAGATTAATTTAATAGATTGTAATTTAATGTGCCAATTGTAATATCGGCAACAATCACACATAAATCTTAGTACACAAAGCCGTCCAAAATTCACTATCAATATTCAAAAGTTAACAAAGATTAAACTAAAATCCAACCCTGTGTTAGGCACAAAAAAGCAGTTACTAACAATTAAACATTTAACCACTCTTCTTACCAAAAAAACAAAAAACCCCATCACTCCTTAAATATCACAAGATCAAACTGCTGATAACTGAAAAGCAATAAACACAAACCATAGGCAAATCATATACCAATCAAATTATAATATAACAATCTATGGTCAAAAAATTAAACTCACTGTACAGAGTTAACAAGCGTTAGCATTGGAACTCACACTGCTATAAGGGTAAAAGGTTCTTGAAAATTTCAGTATACGTATCAATCCACCATTGTAGGTGTGCTTTTAATGTGGTAGAATGCGCACAAGCAGTCACCTGCTGTGCTACCTAATGCTCACAAGACTTACATGCCCGGTCTTGTTAGTGGAGTTACCTAGAATCGACCAACAACATAGACATGTTCATTCAATCCACGGTCAAAACAGAGACTACAATTTTTACCACAAAAATGCTATCAATAAGAAATGCACAGTTTCTTAAAACCCGAGATGTTTATGGGTATAAATTTATTTAAAAGACAGTAATCTAATTCTGAAGAGAAAATCACTTTTAATGATGATGTGCATAAATATTCATTGATGTTGGTAATTGTTTCTATTATAGCCAATCAACTCCTATTGCAGTTCAAAAGCACTCTAATTTATATTATAAAGACTATTGCATTTGTCTCCTTGTCATTAGTTGCACATCATCTCCTGCAAAATAACACACCCATATACTTAAATGTACACTCACATCCATGACAACCACCAGTATAGACTAGGCCTGTAAATGGATCGGATTCGGATCGGATCTATTAAAACTCCAACCCCACCTACAAAACCACGGCTCACCAATATCGGCCCATGATTTTTGAGACCACAGCCTAAACATCAAAATGAGTCCTCATCTTCTTAGGCTTTTGAAAATTTGGAACCTTTGGTAGCAAGAATTTTTGAGATTTTCTTAATGAGTTTCAGTGATAGTTTGTGAGGCAATCTTTCACAAAACTGACTTTCAAGTTTAATGTATCTTTCTTGCAAGGGCTTTCTGACTTTCTCTCAATCTAAATTCATGATCTAAAAATAGAGCCTAAGACTACGTCTAACCCCTATTGTTCTCTATATACATATTCAAGAAAAGAAAAACAAAAAACAAGATTGTAGCCTGAACTTGTGCTAGGCAACATGAAATGGATTTTAAAAATAAAAAAAACAAAACATGAAATGGATAAAGCTTTGGTAAAATCTAGAACTATTAGGCAGCAGTTGTTCATCCAATGGCTAGTTGCTAGAGCAGTCACCAAAAGGCATAGTATAAGAAATGGTTACGTACTAGCCTGAAATTACAGATTGGAACCAGTAAAAAATCTCCAGTGAGGTTTGATAGATGAATGAGGATATTAGGATGATGTGCCTAATGCCTCTGCAATACCACTACGGCTCCATTCTCCACAAAATAGGATATTGTAGAACTTTCTGTCACATACAGTTTTCACTGTTCGCTCACATCCTCATTTTTAATCAAAATCTATTTTAATCTACTTGCAAAACATGTATCTTGCTTCTTCCCTAGCTTGTTCAATTTAATAGATATTTTACCAAACGAACCTAAAACAATAATTCACATATTGATACTACAAAAAGTTTTAAGAACTTCATAAATAGGCCTTTGAGCTTATACAATATACAATACATATGAGTTCTCTCTACCATCCTTGATTGCCTGAAGCTTAAAAATAAATAAAATTGAAAATTTCAGACTCCAATTACATATCTAGGTAATAAAATAGATCCAAATTAACTAATGATTATTGCTAAAGCTTTAATGATGTTCAAAGTTATGAGGCAACGAAATAAGCTACCCCATGAATAAGAAAGTGCGCATTTAACCCTCAAAATGTTGATCCTCAAACTCAACAGCAAATGAGTTTCATGATACAAAAGTTCATAAGAAAAATATATAAAAAAAAAAGGTCAAAAACAAGCAATAGCAGGAATTCTTTATCAGAAGATAACAACAGATCATGCCTGAAAGTAGAGGACAGGATTGGAATTGTGAAATATGTGTAGAGAAATGGAATAAAGATGAAAGATTCTGCCAGGGCAACCACCATATGCAAATAAAAATATAACAACATATAAACCTCAATATTCAAATATTCAGTGATCTACTCCCAACTGACCCAGGATTAGAAATAAGCAACAACAGGATGTCTTAGCTTCTTCAGAGGCGCAACAGTTGAAAATGAACAATTGACTATTAAATTAATCTCTCAATAAAGCAGTAGATAAAATATTATGTGATGGCACACACATTAGTTTGCACATGATCAATTTTTTTTTCCAGAGAAATAAGATTT